GCCGCTGCGTCCTGCACTGTCAAATCTGGTGCGCAGAACTCCACACTTCCCACTCCACACTTCCCACTCCACACTTGAACGAGTGGAGTTTGCAGTCTCCACACTTGGAGTGTGGAGTCTGCAGTCTCCACATTTGGAGGGTGGCGTAGCCCACAAAGCCCCTGTCTCTGGGCACGGTGAAAAAGTGGAGAACTCCACACTTGAAGGGGGGAGGCTGCAAACTCCGCACTTCCAAGTGCGGAGACCGCGAATTCCACACCCCCGCATTTCAAGTGTGGAGTTCCCCACACTTGGTTTCACAGTGTGGTGTCCTGGCGGCCTTTTGCGTCCCCGCCGGCGGGCGCGTTGACCGCGCACAAGGGTGGCTGGGCTGGCGATGCCTCGCTGTCACGGACCTCGCCGCCGCGGTGACGTCCGAAAGCCTCGTCAGCCTCCAGCGTGGCGACGTGCGAGGCGCAGGTGGCGGCGACGGGCTGCGTCGGAGAGGGGCCACACACACACACACACACACACACACGCACACACACACGCACACACGGCCCGCACCACCCGCATACCGGCGGGAGCATTTAGGCCCCAGGGGAGGCTCGGGCACAAAGAATTGGCTGTCAGCCCTTTATCTCGTTGTTCATCTCCCGTCTCCGTCTCCCTCGCGAGGCGGGCCGAGGCGCCGAGGCCGCAGACTGAGAGTCGTTTTCGTCGCCCTGTCTCTCTCGCACCTGTGCGGGACGCCCCACGGGTGCGAGAGAGACAGGGCGGCGCAAACGACTCTCAGAATGAGTGTGCAGCGCGGTGCGGCGAGGCGCTGCCTGTCTGACGGAAAGCCTCCCTGCAGGCGGATTGCGAACCCGACCGGGGTTTATTCCGAACCGCGGCGCTCCCCGATAGTCCGACCCTTTTCGCGCCCGCGCGGACGCACCGCGAGTCGGAGATCTCGAGTGTGAAAGATACACTCCGCTCGGAACCGGTCTGCCGCCGACGCGCTGCCTTTCAGATTCTTCGGAAGAGGCGGTACAAAGTATTGGCGCCAAATTTGTTCCCTGCGAAACAAGAAAGGCGCTAGAAACTGCTCTGCAGAAAAATTACCGCGGTAATTTCTGCTCGCTCAGCCCTTCTTTTGGCACGGCAAAAAGTGTTCCTGGTTTTCTCAGGGTAGCCTGTGAAGCAACTTAGGTGATTTTCCATAAAGTTTCTGAAAAAAAAAAAAAAAAAAAAAAAAACAGGGACCCTTTTGCCCGGGGGCATCGCCAACACAAAATTATTACCGACAGTGATCGCTACTCTAAATGTTGTACATTGAAGATTGTCCCATGTTATGGAGAAAATGTTCCAATGGTGGTGCAGCTGACTTCATAACATACCATTGAGAATTCACTGTACCTTAGATATTTTGACGAATTTCGTTGGTATTAGGGAGAAAATCTCCACCGTAATTTGTTGGTGTAGCCTTTCACCGTAAGACAGTGCGATGGTGATTTCACCCACCGCCTTCCGATTTAAAGCGAGTCTTTGAGTGGCGGGTGGGGGGGCGGGGGGCAAGGGAGCACTGAGAATGAAAAAGTCATGATCAATACCCAATTTTGGGCGAGGTTTACTTTCTCACCCAAATTTGGGTGAGGAACGTTTCCTCGCCCAATTTGGGCGAGGAAAGCTTCCTCGCCCAATTTTGGGTGAGGAAGGGTGTATCAGCTCCCTATATAGCTCCATAGTATTATGACCCAAATTTGGGTAAGGAAACTTTCCTCACCCAAATTTGGGCGAGGAAAATTTCCTCACCCAAATTTGGGTAATAAAAAATTCCTCACCCAAAATTTTAGTCATGATCATGACTCTTTCATTCTCAGTGGGGAGTTTGACGCAGAGATCGTACTCCAAGGAGGAGACGTCGCGCCCGTCCGAGCGCACCTGTCCGCCGAGGCGCCTGCTCGACGCGGCGGTCATTCCTGGAACAACCCGATGTTGCTACTAACTTTGCTTTGTGGCCAAGAGGCGGGAGGGGGGGGGGAGAGAGAGAGAGAGAGAGAGAGAGAGAGAGAGAGAGAGAGAGAGAGAGAGAGAGGACACTGCCCGACCAAAGACGGGCGAGGCGAATCCAGACGTACCCATCCATGTGCAAACGGAGCCAAAACTAACACAACTCACAATATTTTGACGTTCCCAATGTCCCAAGTTTGCCGACTGTGCGCGGTCGGGAGTAGACGGAAGAGGCGGGGAAGAGGGGAGGAAGGGAGACAGCGTGGCAAGCGCGCGTACAGAACACTATACCAGTCCGCCGAGCCGAGTCTATGCCCGCCGCACGCCGCACCAACGCCCTTCACGCAGTAATCTCGCTAGTTTATTGGATTGAAAAGTTTGCAGGCCTTTGGGGCCGCACGCGTTTGTTTACACTGGCTGGGCTTTAGGGGGAGGGGGAAGGGGGGGCACACACGATGTGATTGCTGTTCACAGAGCACGTCGTCCAACGGAAGCAGCGGAACGGATGTCCTTGCGGATGTCACTCCGACCGGACCGAAGAAGAAGAAGAAGAAGAAGAAGAAGAAGAAGAAAGACAAAGCTTTTTCCTCGTTGAGTTGGATGCGTTCACTCCATCCGGCGCCCCGACCCGTCTTCTCGGCCCGTCCCCGCAATCCTGTCTTGTTCCGGCCTACCGCCACTCCCCCACCCCCCCTCTTCCTCTCTCCCCGGCGCCGCCCTGAGCCTCCCTGTGATGTCTAGGGTCGAAATCCTCAACATCAACAACCCCCTCTTCCTCCCTCTCCCTTTTCTCTCGGCCAACTTTTGTCACCCCTCGCGCGTTCCCCCCACCCCCTCCGCCCTTTTCCGCGTCCCCTCCGCTTGATTCCCACTGATCGGCTTCCTACAGACCTGACAGACTGGATGTGCCGCTCGGCGTCGGCACGCCGCGCCGCGCTCCAGCGAGGTCAGCCCGCCGGGTAGGCAGTGCGTGGAGCGGCGCGGTGTGGCGGGCCTGCCTGCCCACCCGGCGCTGTCAGCCCGCCGGTTAGGCAGTGCCGTGGAGCAGCGCGGTGTGGCGGGCCTGCCTGCCCACCCGGCGCTGTCAGCCCGCCGGGTGGGCAGTGCCGTGGAGCAGCGCGGTGTGGCGGGCCTGCCTGCCCACCCGGCGCTGTCAGCCCGCCGGTTAGGCAGTGCCGTGGAGCAGCGCGGTGTGGCGGGCCTGCCTGCCCACCCGGCGCTGTCAGCCCGCCGGTTAGGCAGTGCCGTGGAGCAGCGCGGTGTGGCGGGCCTGCCTGCCCACCCGGCGCTGTCAGCCCGCCGGGTGGGCAGTGCCGTGGAGCAGCGCGGTGTGGCGGGCCTGCCTGCCCACCCGGCGCTGTCAGCCCGCCGGTTAGGCAGTGCCGTGGAGCAGCGCGGTGTGGCGGGCCTGCCTGCCCACCCGGCGCTGTCAGCCCGCCGGTTAGGCAGTGCCGTGGAGCAGCGCGGTGTGGCGGGCCTGCCTGCCCACCCGGCGCTGTCAGCCCGCCGGGTGGGCAGTGCCGTGGAGCAGCGCGGTGTGGCGGGCCTGCCTGCCCACCCGGCGCTGTCAGCCCGCCGGGTGGGCAGTGCCGTGGAGCAGCGCGGTGTGGCGGGCCTGCCTGCCCACCCGGCGCTGTCAGCCCGCCGGTTAGGCAGTGCCGTGGAGCAGCGCGGTGTGGCGGGCCTGCCTGCCCACCCGGCGCTGTCAGCCCGCCGGGTGGGCAGTGCCGTGGAGCAGCGCGGTGTGGCGGGCCTGCCTGCCCACCCGGCGCTGTCAGCCCGCCGGGTGGGCAGTGCCGTGGAGCAGCGCGGTGTGGCGGGCCTGCCTGCCCACCCGGCGCTGTCAGCCCGCCGGTTAGGCAGTGCCGTGGAGCAGCGCGGTGTGGCGGGCCTGCCTGCCCACCCGGCGCTGTCAGCCCGCCGGGTGGGCAGTGCCGTGGAGCAGCGCGGTGTGGCGGGCCTGCCTGCCCACCCGGCGCTGTCAGCCCGCCGGGTGGGCAGTGCCGTGGAGCAGCGCGGTGTGGCGGGCCTGCCTGCCCACCCGGCGCTCGGCTCTCCGCTGGCTTGGACACGGTCCGCTGAAGCGTGCGTCGAAGCAAAGCGTGTCCAGCACCCTCCGCGTCACGGCCCTGGGCCTCGCCTGCAGCAGACTCATTCCGAGAGTCATCGTCTGTCTCTGTCGCACCTACAGGGGACGCCCCATGCGTGCGAGAGAGACAGAGCGACGAAAACGGTGACTCTCGGAATGAGGGCCTCGCCGCGGCCAACCCTTTCCCGTCCCTAATCCTTCAGCCCGCTCCCCAGGCCGCCCCTCTCCTTGCGGACGCGCGCTGCCGCTACAAAAAAGCGGCTTGAGGGGGGAGGGGAAGAGGGGGAGGGGGGGGGGGGGGTAAGGAGGCGCACGGCGCTTCCGTGCCATTTCCCATCTCATGCCACGTTGAATACACCTGTGTGCGTCAAGGACCCATCCGAGTCCCGTGCCCCATGCCGCCCCACTGGTCAAAGGGAGCCCGCACGACCGCGCCCGTGTGTGCGATCCTCGGTGTGTTTGTGTGTGTGTGTGTGTGTGTGTGAGAGAGAGAGAGAGAGAGAGAGAGAGAGAGAGAGGGAGAGAGAGAGAGAAGGACCGTGCACGCGAGTGGGTGCACATGAATCGAGTGCGTTGTGCGTTACCCTGTTCTGCTCGGTTTGAAGTGTGGGTAGCGGTATTCAATTCCGTAGGAAACACAGCTCTGCTTGCTGAGAGCTCGTCCTGCGATTTAGACGTTTTAATCCACCAAATTTACTGGCGCGTCTGAACGCAGCTGCAGGAACGGCGTGTTCTCGAGGCAGCCATGGGGACCGCACACTGTCAAACCGAGTGCCACTGCCGATTTCAAGTGTGGAGCTCACACTTGCTTTTACAGCGTAGGGAATTGGCGACCCTAGTCGCATAGGGCAACTGAATTAGTGTGTCTGTTCCCCAGCAGAACTCTGCGTTCAGAACGTACGATGCGTCCGTAAACTTGCCTCCTGCGTGCTTGCAGTGCTGCGCGACGAGTTCCGCGCGCAGCCCCGCGACACGAGGGTGGCGGCCGGCGAGACGGCGCTGCTGGACTGCGGCCCGCCCAAAGGGACGCCCGAGCCCACGCTCACCTGGAAGCGGAACGGACAGGACCTGGACTTCCACGCCCTCAACGCGGACGGCAACCGCAGGTACGCGCCACTGCACTGTCAAAACCCTTCCTCCGCGCACAGTGGGCCAGAAGACCGGTGGAGGCGGCCAAAACTCTAGACGCGATTTGAGCTCCTGAGTCGCTAAGCAGGACTCGAACCGAGCGTGTGACTCCACCAATGGATTCCTCGTTCCGAGAGCAATCCATTGGTGGGGTCACACGTTCGGTTCGAGTCCCATTTAGCGACCCTGGAGCTCAAAACACGTCCGGAAGTTCAGCCGCCTCCGCCGGTCTTCTGGCAAATCCCCTGTGCCTTGGTTTCACAGTGTACCGACGTGTTACTGACGGCCTCCCTGTGCTTCCGCAGGTACCGCGTGGTGGACGGCGGCAACCTGCTCATCGCCAGCGTGTCCCGCGGCGACGAGGGGAAGTACAAGTGCGTGGCGCACAACGTGGCGGGCGTCCGGGAGAGCGCGACGGCCACCCTGGACGTGCACGGTAAGCAGCCTAAGCAGCCCTCCCTTCGTCGACCGGCAGTTATCGCGGTCTTCAGACATATCGACCCACTGCCGAACTGCTGCCCCACACGCCCCGGTGCGGAGTGATTCTCCACACTTGGACGTGTGGAATTCGCTGTCGCTCCACGCTTCACGTGTGGAGTAGCTCACAGAACCCCTACCTTTTGGCCTGGTGCAAATGTAGAGAACTCCACACTTAAGGTGTAGAAACTGCAAATTCGCTGCACTTCCAAGTGCGGAGACTGCAAATCTCACGGCCCCGCATTTCGAGTGTGGGGTTCTCCGCCCTTGGTTTCACAAAGCAGGGCCCGCGGGCCGCGAAGACCCCGTGGTGGTCTCGTCACTTGCACCCTCACTGAAAAACCAAACGTGGTCTAGACCGCACCAACTGGTGTGGTCAAATGGGTGCCATTTTGACCACATCAGTTGGTGTGGTCTAGACCACTTTTGGTGCGTTTGGTGTGGTCTAGACCACACCTAACGTGGCCAAACGTGGTCTAGACCGCACCAAACGTGGCCAAACGTGGTCTAGACCACACCAACTGATGTGGTCAAAATGGCACCCATCCGACCACACCAGTGGAGCGGTCTGGACCACGTTTGGTTTTTCAGTGCTTGTTCGCGTCGCGCATGCGCACTGCTTGAACTCGTCCTCCCCCTGTTGCAGTCAAGCCGTACTTCCTGCGGCAGCCCAGCGACGTGACGGCGCTGGTGGGCCAGAGCGTGGAGCTGGAGTGCGCCGCGTCGGGCGAGCCCACGCCCACCATGCTGTGGCGGCGCGAGGACGGCCGCATGGCCATCGCGCGCGCGCACATCCTGGACAACAAGGCCCTGCGCCTCGAGCACGTCACGGCCGAGGACGTGGGCACCTACATCTGCGAGGCCGAGAACGACGTGGGCAGCGACTCGGCCAGGCTCACCCTCACCGTGCACTGTAAGTGGCACCGCCGCACAGTGGGCCAGAAGACCGGTGGAGGCAGCCAAAACTCTAGACGTGTTTTGAGCTCCAGAGTCGCTAAACAGGACTCGAATCGAGCGTGTGGCCCCACCAATGGATTCCTTGTTCGGAGAGCAATCCATTGGTGGGGTCACACGTTCGGTTCGAGGCCTAGCGACTCTGGAGCTCAAAACGCGTTTAGGAGTTTTGGCCGCCTCCACTGGTCTTCTGGCCCACTGTGCGCCGCGCCGCCACACTGGAAAGAAGACCCGGCTGCACAGCGGGTCAGAAGACCTGTGCCGGCGGCCGAAACTCTGGACGCGTTTTGAGCTCCAGGGTCGCTAAATGGGACTCGAAACGAGCGTGTGACCCCACCAACGGATTGCTCTCCGAACGAGGAATCCATCGGTGGGGTCACACGTTCGGTTCGAGTCCTGTTTAGCGACTCTGAAGCTAGGGTTTTGGCCGCCTCCTCCGGTCTTCTGGCCCACTCTGCGAAGGCGGTAAAAACTCTATCAGCTTTCTTGCGGCGGTTGTTTTTGGTGCCGCCTGAATACCGCCTTTCGCTTTTGGGTGTTATTCGTGTCTGGTTCCCTGACTCACAGTGCAGTGCATCATCCCTCTCTCTCTCTCTCTCCCTCCGCAGCGCCGCCGTACTTCACGGTGCGGCCCTCGGACATGCGCGTGCCGGTGGGCAGCTCGGTGACGTTCCCCTGCGCGGCCGAGGGCAGCCCGCCGCCCTCCGTCTTCTGGAGCCGCGAGGGCTCCCGCCTGCTCATGTTCCCCGGCACCGTGCACGGCGACATCGCCGTGTCCGCCGACGGCACCCTGTCCCTCAAGAGCGTCACCAGGGAGGACTCCAGCTACTTCGTGTGCTCGGCGCTCAGCGTGGCCGGGTCCGCCACCGAGCGGGCGCTCCTGGAGGTACAGTCTATCCGCCGTCGCCGGAACACACTGTCAAACACTGATAAACCAAACGCGGTCTAGACCACACCACTGGTGTGGTCAAATGGGTTCCATTTTGACCGCATCAGTTGGTGTGGTCTAGACCACGTTTGGCCACATTTGGTGTGGCCTTTCGCACCAAACGAGGTCTAGACCACACCAACTGATGCGGTCAAAATGGCACCCATTAGACGACACCAGTGGGTGTGGTCTAGGCCACGTTTGGTTTTTCAGTGAACCAAGTGTGGAGAACTCCACACCTCCTGCTGCGGATTTACTCCCAACACTCTTGGACGTGTGGGAGTTTGCTTGCAGTCTGCGCACTTCAAGTGTGGAGTAGCTCACAGAGCCCCAATCTCTTGGCATGGTGCAAACGTGGACAACTCCACACTTCAAGTCTCCACACTTCAAGTCTCCACACTTCAAGTCTCCACACTTCAAGTCTCCACACTTCAAGTCTCCACACTTCAAGTCTCCACACTTTAAGTCTCCACACTTGAAGTGTGGAGACTGCAAGCTCAGCGCTTCCAAGTGCGGAGACACTGCGAAATCCACACCTACGCCTTTCAAGTGCGGACTTCTCCACGCTTGGTTTCACTTTCACAGTGCAGGTCTCGCCGTTGTGCGCCGCCGCTGTAACGCTAACACTCTGTGCCTTGCAGGTGCTGCCGCTGCAGCAGGCGCCGCCGCCGCTGATCCAGCTGGGCCCCGGCAACCTGACGATGCCCGTGGAGGGCGTGGCCGTGCTGCCCTGCCAGGCCGCGCCGCCGTCCGGCCCGTCGGGCCCGTCGGGCGAGGCCGCGGCGCGCATCAGCTGGCTCAAGGACGGCCGGCCCTTCTCGGCGTCCGGCCGCGTCGCCATGTCCAGCAAGGGCAGCCTGTCCGTCAAGAGTAAGTCGAGTGGCGGCGGATCTACACTGAAAAACCAAACGTGGTCCAGACCGCACCACTGGGGTGGTCAGATGGGTGCCATTTTGACCACATCAGTTGGTGTGATCTAGACCACGTTTGGCCACGTTTGGTGTGGTGTCTCAGACTGTCTCTCTTGCACCAAGCGCCCCATGAGTGTGTGTGAGAGAGAGAGAGAGAGAGAGAGAGAGAGAGAGAGAGAGAGAGAGAGAGAGAGAGAGAGAGAGAGAGAGAGAGAGAGAGAGAGAGAGAGAGAGAGAGAGAGAGAGAGAGACAGAGAGACAGAGAGACAGAGAGAGACAGAGAGAGACAGAGACAGACAGACAGACAGACAGACAGACAGACCTCCCCTTCCGGGCCTTCCGCTCGCTCTGACTCTTGTTCTCTGTCTCTGCCCGCAGACCTGCAGGTGTCCGACTCGGGCGAGTACACGTGCGTGGCGGAGTCATCGACGGGGCGGTCGTCCTGGTCGGCGTGGCTGGCCGTGCTGCCCGGGCTGCCCGAGGCGCGGCGCGGCCCCGACCTGGCCGCCATGCCCACGGCGCCCCCGAAGCCCTACATCGTGAACGCCACCCGCGACTCGCTGACGGTGTCCTGGATCGACCCGAACCCCGGCCGCTACGACCGCTCCCACCTCATCGGCTACATGCTGGACTACTTCAGCAGCGAGGACCAGAGCGCCGGCTGGGTCCGCGTCGCGCGAGCCATCAAGGCGGAAGTGTGGACCGTAAGTTTGATCATCCGCCACTTGGAGGACAGTAACACTGTAAAAATTTGGTCTGTCACTTGTCCCTATGTTTGAAGTCCAGTTTTCCTTACAAGAATGTCATCAAAACCAGATGATGACATTGTTGTCCACGCCCATGTAAAGTAAAGGAGCCTCGAAACCCAAAGAACACGAAACGCTCACCGTGACGTCATTTTGATGTCAATTTGACAAATTTTAGTCAAAATTTCGTAAAAAAAAAAAAAAAAAAAGCACTATTTTGACGTCATTTTGACGTCCTCTGACTGCCGTGTGAGTGTTTCGCGTGTTCTTTGGGAAGGAGCTTCAATGAAAATGTCATCGATTTGTAATGAAATTGTCATCAGTTTAAAGAGCTGAAAATGTCATCAACTATTTTGTTAACAAGTGACATTGAATTTTTACAGTGCGCGCAAGTCTGAAAAGGTTTAGTGTCCGGGTTTCCTAATGGAAGCATTTGGTTCGCTCGCAGGTTTCCGGGCTATCTCCAGACTCCAGTTATGTCTTCGTTGTTCGCGCGGAGACTGACGCCGGAGTGTCTTTGCCCAGTCCAATATCAGAGCCAGGTCATACGTTAAATGCCAATGCCAACATCCTGCCTCCCTATGAGGGTGCTGTGGCTCGGTCACATTTGAGTTCTAGTGTTGTTGTTTTGAAGGATGCTCAGGCCATTTCACCAACATCCATTCGCTTAACTTGGGATGTAAGTAGTTTTAAGAAAAAATTGAAAATTTGAATTGATTTCTTACTTTTTTTGGTTATTTTGTATGTGAATTTAAAAATATTAATTCATCTATCTGTTTTTGCTCTTATTAAGATAATTGGTGCTGCAAACTTCATCGAGGGATTCTACATCCGTTACCGTGAGATATCTCATACAAATGAGACAAACATCACAAGTATTCCTGAGTATCAAGTTGTGAAAATAAGCAACTCAGGGGCCACCACATATACTTTGAATGATTTGAAAAAATATGCAGTTTATGAAGTGTTCCTCACACCTTTTTACAAGTCAATTGATGGGCAGCCGTCCAATTTCAAAGTTGTGAACACCCTTGAGGATGGTAAGTTATAATGTGTTTTCCTGCTCCTTGTGTTGTATCAGGTCCCTCTCTCTAATTATTTTACTAATCCACATTTGGTTTCTTTAGCTCCCACTGCACCTCCAGAACACATACAAGTAGGAATTCTTAATGTGACATCAGCCTTTGTCAGATGGACTCCACCTCCTGCAGATAGTCACCATGGAAAGATTGTGGGCTATAAGGTAGCTTATTTTCATCCTGCTTCTGCAATCATTTGTTAATTTTTTTTCGTTCTGGCAATGTTTTTTTTTTTTTTTCAACTGGATCAATACAAACTCCACTTTGTTTTCTGTTTCCAGATACAAATCAGCAGTCCACTTGGGAAACTGTTAGCACAAATGACTTTAAATGCCACCAACATGTCAGTTCTCTTGAACAACTTGACGATTGGAGCAGAGTACATGACCAGAGTGGCTGCCTTCACCGCTGCAGGCCTAGGACCTTATTCACTTGGAACGCCACTGGTCATGGACCCCTCTGCCCTTCAGCCATTCACACCTCGGTCAAGACCAACCAATGACGATGCATCTAGTGTTGTTCGAGAAACTTGGTTTGCTGTACTTATGGGAGCATTGGCTCTCTTGATTGCTGGTGGTTTTGCCGTAGTGGTGTACATGAAAAAGAGACAAACTGCTGGCAAAGAGCTTGGACACCTTAAAGGTAAGTCTTTTATTTATTTTAACGACACCTCCTCAAATGCAGCACAAAATGCCAGTGCATATACCTAACTAATTTTTGACATTTTCCAGTTCCTGTCGTAAATGCCAATGATATGGCTGGTTTGGGTCTGTTGAGCGGGAAGGAGACACTCTGGATAGACAGAGGTTGGCGAGCAGCAGCAGGGAAAGGAGTTCCCGTAACTCCACCCCTCGGATCGGAATATGCAGAAGTGGATGCTACCTGTGCGCTCTCCTCCTTTTATAGACAGCCTCCTTTAACAAGTACAGCTGATGCTGCTGATGGAGCTGATCCTACCCCTTATGCCACAACCATGCTGCTTAGTCAACTTCCTGGCCAAAGACCTGATCATCTAGAGGTAGAGTACATGAAGTGAAAAATATGATTATTTCTCAGCATTACCCATATGGGCATTCCCTTGATTATTTTCTTGACTTCACGTTATTTAATTTTCAGGGCTCGACCCCTTCGGATCCTTATGCTAGTGGAAGTCTAATGTACCCGAGGAAAAGTCCCTTGTCTCCAGGAGCACCGAGTACCATTGATGGCAGTTACTCAGGTAATTGAAACCCCAAGTCGAATTTTAATCACGCTCCAAACAGCTCTAACAGAGGCCTCTATGTGTGTGGTGTATCTGTTTTCATATAGATGACCTCTCAGTCTCCTACGACAGAAGAGGCCCCCATCCGCACCCCCATGCTCACTCTCACCAGGCTCATCCCCATCAACACCAACACCATCACCACCACCTTGCCCAGCCTCCCCACTGGAGTGACATCCTTCCACCGCCGCCAGAGCAGCCTCCCCCGCCGCCTGGGTCTTGTGCAGGATCAGGATCTTTGCAGGGCCACCAGGGCCACCATGGACACCAAGGTCATCAGGGCCACCAGAACCACCACGGCCATCAGGGCCACCAGTGCGGCAGCCTAAGCAGCTTGAGTCCCCAGTCGTCACGGCGGGGTCACGTGACTTGCTCCGGACCGGGCCACGCCAGCACCACGGGCCGGCCGGGCAGCTCGGCGAGTCGCAGTCGGAGCTGCGGCACCACTGCAAGTGGCAGCGGCTGCGGCTCGGCCACCAACGCCAGGACCTGCTCCTGGCAGCGCTCTCGGTGCGCCCACCCGCAGGCCGCCCACCCGCAGGCCGCCCACCCGCAGGGGCCGCACGGGTCGCATGGGCCGCAGGGTGGCAACGATGGACCAGCACGGTACCACTCGGAGCCACCTCAGCAGAGACCTCCCCCGGTAAGTACCACTTAAAAAATAAACCTCCAAAATATTCTTAAATTTTGGGTGTGTTTTTTGCCTTAACCACAAACAAATAACAAATATATTCCGTCAGGTTCCAAGATATCCGAATGGATATGATCAACCATCTACTGGGTCTGCCTCAACAAGTGAGGACCGTGGTTGTCAGTCATCTCTAGTTAGTTTGTTACCTGACAGTTCCACTGCTGGTAAGTAAACGCATTTCCATAATGTATCTATCTTTCTGCAATCGTCAAAGAATGTAATTCCGCACACCTATTTTTTTCACAACAGAATCTGCCTGCAATGCCCTTCGCAGACTACGGCTTGCTGCTGCGTGCTTTCTGGTTGTCGCTAGTGACTATTCTCAGACCGGAATAGCAGCAATGAACGACCCCGGTCCTGCGTGATACTTGTTGCTATGTTCTGACTCCTCGTGTATGTATGCTGAGGTAGGGAATGGTATCACAATAGTCAAGATCAACGATGAGACAAAGAACTCATATCTGGTTCTTCCTACCTCCCTTTACAACTGTCAATGAAGAAGGTGAATTTCTCATCGTATAATGCTAAAAGCAATGTAAATAGTGTCAGTCATTGATTTGACAAACCATTTTACCCTGCCGGCACAACCACTGTTTTTCTAGCAAAACTTTGAAATATCATCAAATCAAAAAAAGAGACAGATAATTTGGCTTATTTCTCTTAAGAAATAAGCCGGGGATGACCTGCGGCAACCACGACGCTGGTGGGGCCTCGAAGAAAAAGTAGAACATGTTGGATAAAAAAATTCCCTCCCCAACCAACCTCCTCACTCAACATTCCCCGCAGCCGACCGGTAAATGTTGATTTCCGCAACACTTCCCGGTAAATGATACGAGAACCCGACATTTCCCGGGTTGGGTAGGTTACTCCTAACATTTACCGGTAAATCTTAGGAGTCGCCGGGATCCGGACATTTCCCTTAACATATCTATCTTTCTGCAATCGTCAAAGAATGTAATTCTTCACACCTTTTTTTTTTCAGCAACAGAATCTGCCTGCAATGCCCTCGCAGACTACGGCTTGGCTGCTGACTGCTTGCTTTCTGGTTGTCGCAGTGACTATTCGTCAGACCACAATAGCAGCAATGAACGACCCCAGTCCATGGCCAGTGATACTTGTTGCTCATGTTCTGACTCCTCGTGTATGTATGCTGAAGTAGGGAATGGTAATCACAATAGTCAAGATCAACGATGAGACAAAGAACTCATATCTGTTTCTTCCTCACCTTTCCCTTTACAACTGTGTCAAAATGAAGAAGGTGAATTTCTCATCGTATAATTGCTAAAAGCAATGTAAATAAGTTCAGTCGATTGATTTGACAAAGATTTTACCCTGCCGGCACAACCACTGTTTTTCTATCAAAAACTATTGTGACATCATTGTGATACAACTCTTATAAAGAAAGGTAGAGAGAGAGAGAGAGTCAAATCTTCTGCGAGTCTAAACTTATGGCATGCAGTCAGGTAACCATATTAAGTAAAGTGATTTCCAACATACCTAAGGTTTCTTTGTATCCTTTCCTCCTAGTCAGTTAGATGCAGTTTTTAGAGGAACTTTTGCATCAGCATAATAGAATTGTGAAATTGAATAAGTATTGTAGTTATATCAACTTTGTATATATTCTATGTGCTGGCTGTCAATTTTGAAGGATTAAAAAAAACATTTCTTCTCTTGTTTTGATCTTGCATCAGCAAAAACGCCAGTTTCTTGAAAATAGGAAACTAGAACTAGTCTGATTATCTGTGAATTGGGATATCCTCACGTAGCAAGTGCAATGTTTGTTTTCTTAAATGTGTTAAATTTTAATTTATTCTAAAAATCTGTTATGTAAATATTACTTGGAATAGTTTCAAATGATGAGTTACCATGTACAGTCTGTCAAAGCTCTGCTGATGTACCGTAATTCTTCTGAATGATTCAAAACCAGTGTTGTTAGGGTGCACTGGTAAGAACTGCTATATGAACTGCTAAAAATGTAACGAAATGACTGTTTCACTCATTGTTGTAGTGTTGCACTCCCTGCCACTGATAGCCGTAGTCAAAGCAAGGAGTACATTTACTAAGCTAATGTAAGATATCGTCAAAGATAGACCCAAAAAATTTTGATTTTTTAGTTAGACATTCAATTTTTGGTCATATTTAATGAATACAAGTATGTTTTTGTTTTGTTTCTTTGAAAATAATTTTGTAATTATTGTCTATAAATTTGTAAGTATGTGTAAATGTGTGTATGTGTAAGTTATGTGTATTTATTATCCCCTGAATGTACATAATTTATCAATTGATTAGGGTCATGTTGTATTTGTATTCCCAGTTATGAAGGTAAGGTAGCTGTCACAATCAGTGTCCTTTAAGTTGTATTTACTTCAGATCTGTATGATGACGGGTTTGAAGCCACTTCAATGTCTGTTACAATACATAGTTACTGTTATTCCATTAAAGGCTGAAGACTGAATGTATGTCTATGTGTATCTTAATCATCCTTCCAGCACATGCTCAAATAAGTCCAAATTTTCACTGCCTTTCACTTTTTCACTGCCATTCTAAATTTTTGACCCCAAGCCTTAAAGAACCATGATCACCTTAAGGTGATCCCACACCTAGACATTCCTGGCAGGGCCCGGCCCGACACCATCGAAACCGAGATCCCTCCATCCTGTCCCTTCCCTAGTCGACGCATCCTGCTTCACCTCCCACTCGGCTCCTTGAGACTCACCACTGCTGAGTCAATAGCAAGCTCGACAGCGCAGGCTCAGACAATTGGTCAACAACATTCAAAATGGCACTCGCTCATAAAGTCACCAAGCACCAAGTTGAAGGCAGTGAACCTTTTGTCCTTACAGTAGCAGACTAGTTGTTTGTTGCCTCGGAGATGACATCACTAAGTCGCTTTGGGGCCTTCTCGGTACAAAACATCAATCAAGGACTCAGCACGGTCACTGAAAAGAACACTGAAATCAAACCAATACAAGTGGCAAAGAGAGTAAGAAAAATGAATAATGCCAATGCCATCTTTGCACGCTTTTGTGCATTATGCTGATATTTCACTCCACAGTCCAAGTTTCTCAAAGCTTTCTCCAACACTCAGCCAAATGTCTCAGTCTAACTGCAACAGCAAGAAAGCCATGTATAAAAATCCAAAATTAGAGCAGGCCAAATCCTGAAAACATAAATTGATCCTCCAATACAATAAAACACTTGTGTTAAGGAAATAACTAACATTCTCTTTAGAATTAAGAATTGTAAGGAGACAATGTTTGATGACGCAACCAGTATTCATCATCATAGCATGTACAAGTAAAGTGAAGTAAAGCTTTACTCAACAGAAGTGGTTGTAGTCAACAGATTAACAAACAGATTGTCGTACATTCATCACAACACAATAACAATAGGAAAAGCACAGAGACAAACTCATCCGAAGAGTCCACTGGCAGGTACAATTCCCTTGCAGCACCACGAATCACATGAGTCAAAATGTTGGCCTGGGTTTGCAGTTCCTATACAGCCTACAATCTTCATCAATGATCCGCAGCATCCAAGAACCACACATTGTGGTGTCCATTGACAACTCAACTCGCCACTGAAACTCAGCTTGAAGAGCACTTTGTCTCCATGCAAAAATAATAATTTAAGTTGGCCTATCTGTAAAATTGTCTTCCGTCCGTCCAATGGAGTGATTTCACTGGAACACATTGATGGTCAGGACAAAGTTGAAAACCAAATAGAACAAATATATGCTCGAAAGAAGCAGCAAAAACATGAAGCAGCAAACCCGAATGGACACAAAATACTGAGTTCAGAATCATATCGAAGGAAATGATCGCTGAGAATACGGGCTGCAGTGTGCTTAATGTTTCAGGAATAATAACAGGTCAGAAATAGTTTTCGTCACAACATGAGAACATGACCTAACCTCTCCGCACGGCAGCCAGGCGTGTGGCGCAAAGAGTAAAACCCCATCAACGATGACAAATGGCCGCCTTGCATTAATGGTCGCAATTAGTCCTCAATAATTATCTGCCTGAGAATTGTCAGATAGATTATGCATCTTACCGCACAGTTTACAAAAGTTCTTGATGTTTATTTACGCCGTTCGTTCAGAGTTCTGCCGAAGGATGGCGCCACCGTGCGGAGCCACTGCTGCCTCCGCTTAAGTGACTTACTTGTTTTTCGCGTTGGAACAGAGTATGGTGCAGCACAGACCGGTGTTGGAGTTTAAAAACAGCTTTGGCGCATCTAAAGAAACAGCGCGCTTTTCCAGCCGCCGTCCGAGAAACGGTTTCACGGCCACGCGCAGAGGCTCGGCTCGGCCGCGTCACGTTGGCGAAGCCGTTCACTCGACGGCCAATGGGAGCGCTGCTTCGCGTGGCGCGTAGCGGGCTGGATTTGAACGCGACTTCGGGACCGACACGTTGGGACGGTCTGGGTAGGTCTGGGCGGGCGGCCTTCGCTTTGAAATCTGCATGGTTCTGGTTTCACGCCGTGCATCTGGACGTAGCGGCCTTCCATGCCCCTCGCCTCGCGCGCTAGTGACGGTCCGCCCCGCGGCGGAGGCGGTGTCTGCGGACACTCAGAACATATGGGCTCAAGGGGTCATTCCCATACAACGTGACCGATTTTAGGCCACTTTTTGACCCCCTCCCCCCTCATAGTGACCAGGATAACCTTACCTTTCCATGTGATTAAGATAGGGCGTAGTATTTGGCTCGGCTTCCCCCTCCCCCAAAATGGTCACGTAGTATATGGGAGGGAACGGCCCCCAACTTGCATCCACCCAGAGGTGCCGCACGTGCGTGAAGGTGGTCACCATAGCCACCACAGCTCTTTTTTATCCAGCACAGTCCGTTCTTCTCAAAACACACAAACAAGTTATAAATTGACTCAAAAAGAAGAAGAAACAAAAAAAATAGTCCCTCTTTAACATTTTAGAAGCATCAAAAAGTGGTTCTTGGCACCCGCTAGGAGCTCGATGTACCATCTTTGAAGCCCTGCTGCTGCACTGGTGAAAGAAAGGCAGAAATTATGCCCTTTAAGGGCGTAAACGATTTACGCCCTTAAAGGGCATAAATCGTTAATGCCTTTGCGAAGGGCATTAAAATTTAGCTTGAAATTCCTATACCATTTACGCCTTTTCCAAGGGCATAAAACGATTCATGCCCTTGGGAAGGGCGTAAAAGAGTATTTATGCCCTATAGGGCGTAATTTTTATGCCTTTGTTTTACCAGTGCGGCCAACCGTGTGATGTTTTGCCGGGCAAAGGGTTGTTCGTAGCTACTACCTGTCTGGCGTCACACCCCCTCCCTCCACTCCCTTCTCCTCCTCCTCTCTCTCCTCTTTCCTGGAAGCAGGTCGCACAAACCGTAGGTCGGAGAAGAAAAAAGGCGATTAAGAGCAGTCTAGATCGGCCAAAAAAGGTCGTGCACAAATTTTAGAGGGACGGACGAATTTTGGCAGGTTGGACAAAAAGAGGTCAAATACGATGTTGACCCCTCGAACAGTTCTGCTGGGTTCTGCTTGATCATAGTTTGATGAATAAAAAAAACCATGTGACGTAATACCTGGAACGCTGTCTCAACAGCGCGCTCAACGGCAAACTTGAAAAAAAGGAGCATTGGAGAGTGACTTCAACGAAGGGGAAGACCGTCCATGGGCGCGTAGGCCAGAAGCCCCACTCCCTTACCCCTGTTACTACAGAGCAGCAGATAATTGTTTGCCTTCTCTCTAAATGTTGTACACTGAAGATTCTCCATCTTATGGTGAAAACGCTCCATATGGTGCAGCTGACTTTATAACATACCATTGAGAATTCACTGTAGGTACCTTATAGATATTTAGACGAATTTTGTTTATAATATCATAAAGAAAATTTCCACCATAATGTGGTAGTGCAGCCTTTCACCGTAAGACATTTTCAGTGTTCCAGGGGCATACTTTATTTTCCAGGAAAAGCTTCGCATTTTCAGTCTTCAGAACCAACTTATTTTTTCTTGGTTTTCTTTTTACAAGGCCTTGTTTTCTGGATGAAACAGAGGAGGGAGGCTATAGGGAGGGGACGCACCCCGGGGGGCGGACCCGGGGGCGGGCTGGGGGTGAGTCGGGGGCGGGCCGGGCGCCCATAGCGTGCCCCGGATGGGAGGCGAGGCTCAGTGTGTCAGTGGTGCGGGGGGCAGGGCAGGGCACGGCGAAGGCCCCCC